TCAAGTTTCCAAACTCCAAAGGAATGGAACCGGTGAAGGAGTTGACGGATAGGTCAAGATTTACCAAACCTTCTAGATTGCCAAAGGTTTGGTTGGGAATATCACCACTTAAGCTGTTGTCAGAAACTCCAAATGATTGCATGCGGGTGCAGTATCTGATGGTAGATGGAATGCTTCCTTCAAATTCATTGGTGTGTAGATAAAGTTCAGATAACATAGTAAGATTGCCAATGACGGTAGGAATGTTACCAGATAATTTGTTTTCTTGCAAGGCCAATCTTACTATATTTTTAAGGTTTCCAATTGAATATGGAATTGTTCCCTCAAGGAAATTATCTATCATAATGAAGTTAGTTAAACCGATTAGTTGTCCAATTCCTTCAGTGATCCTTCCAGATATTTGATTAATCCCCATACTAAGCCAATTGAGATGGGTAGAAAAGTTACCAATAAGATCAGGCAACACACCACCAAATTTATTGCCCTCCAAAATAAGCACTTGTAATTGGGTACAATTGGTTAATGAGGAGAGGAAATCCAAATCATGACCTTTTCCACTCCCAAAACTATTATCACCAATGTTAAACTTCTCGAGTTTGCTTAAGCTTCCCAAAGTAGTAGGAATTGACCCCTTAAAACCATTGCTGGATATATCAAACCATCTCAATCCAGTGAGGTTGGATATCGAGGATGGGAAAGTTCCAGAGAAGTGGTTCCCCCCAACCAAGAATGCGTGAAGATTGGGAAAAACAAGTTGCAAATTTGATGGAAGAGTACCAGATAATTGGTTTTCCCCAAGAACAAGAACTCGAATATTTGAGAGGTTATAAAGAGAATCAGGAACGGTACCCGACAACCTATTTAAACCAAGATACAACTGTTCTAAATTTGACAACGTACCCAAGGTATGAGGTATATTTCCTTCCAAATTATTTCTTGAAAGAGATATATTCAGGAGTGATGATAGATTTCCCATGGAAGGTGGAATAGTACCCACTAGATTATTGGCACCAAGAAACAACTGTGTGAGCTGTGTCGTAGATCCAAGCCAAGAGGGTACTTTCCCAGTGAGTTTATTGTACAGCAAGCTTATTACCTCAAGATTTGAGCAGTTAGAAAGCTCAATAGGAACCTCACCATGAAGATTATTTTTGCTCAAGTCAAGAACTTGTAACCGCTTTAAACGACCAACTTGTGTGGGTATTTCACCATGCAAATTAATATTGGAAAGATTGAGGCTTTTAAGGAAGGTTAGATTTGCCAAAGCTGGTCCCAAAGTACCACCCCAATTTTGATTTTGTAAATGCAAGGTAGTGACTCTCTTGCGGCGATGGCCACATTGAACACCCTGCCACTCACAGAAATGCAAAGAATTGTTCCATGATGGGAGAGAATCAGGTATGCCATTGGTAAGCTTTTCCTTCAGATCAAGCAAAGCGAGCTTATCAGTCTCTGAACTCAAAGCAAGACCAACTGTAGTTGGAGTGTTGTACATGAACATGATGGTTTGTGAAGTGACACTGAGAAGGAACATTAATAGTGTCATCATTTTGGTATTGGCCAAGGTGAGCATAGAGAGCTAAATGTATTTTTGTTTATAACAGTAACATTTACAATGTGAGTAGCCGAACCTTTTATTTCTAACTGGCTAAATTGTTTGAAGCCATTACAGAAAGATACAAACTTTGATTTATGAAAGATGGAGACAAGGATGCAAAAGAAAGATAACCCTCAAAGAGGTTGTCAATCAATTATAAATAAAAAATTTATATAAAAAAATACATAATTATTATATTAAAATTATAAAAATATAATAAATATTTTTTAATAAAATTTTATTATTATTAATAACTTATCCTCAATTCTTAAGATAGAAGTTAACAAAATTTAAAAAATAATTGTAAATAATAAATTTTTATTCAACTTATAATATTTACTATTATTAATATATTAAATTTTTAATATTATATAAAAAATAAAAATTTATTATATATAATTTTTTATCGTATAATTTTTTACACATATAAAAATATTTCAATTTGAATTTATAATATTTTAAATATATTTATATATTTTTTAAATTATTATATTCTACAGTATGAAAAGATTACTATTTATATATATATATATAAATAATATATATTTTAAATACACTTTTTTAGCATACTTTATTATTATTATTATTATTATTATTATTAATTAAAATTTATTGAGAATTATAAAATTATGTGAATATTATTTTTAATTGAACAAATCTCACTCATAATTTTGTAATTAAAAAATGATAGATAATAAAAAGTTATTGCGCTCTATTTAATTTTTTACTATTCAATTAAATATTAAATATTAAAAAATAAAAAATAATACATACCTAAAAAAATAAATAATAATAATAATAATAATATATTTTATTTAGTTTCAATTTAGACTAATTTTTCAAGAAATACTTATAAGAGTAGAAAATTTAATAAAATAAATAATTTTTTTTATAAGTTAAAATAAATTTATAATTTTTTATTTTTTTAATTAATTTAAATTTTCTAAATTTTGATGAATATAAATTATTTTAACTTTTGAGAGAAATTTTATATTTTTACATTAATTTTTTCTACAGAAATTTATTAAAATTGAATCTTCATAGCACCAAACTCAACAATAATTTTTATAACATTGTTTGAAAACAATTTATTTGTGACGAATGTTATAAAGTGAGAGTGTTTAAATATTATTTGTGAGAGAAAAAAGAAATTGTTTTAGTTCAATTATGGGATGAGGATAGCTTATATTCACTTCCACCATTCTCTCTACCTTTCAAAATTCCTCCAATCAGTTTAATTCCACACATCCGCGTTGGTTTATCTTTGAGAAAGTGGAATGACTCTGACTTTTTGCAAGTTGGACTTTTCTGTGTTTTGCGTGAGATTTACTCCCCAGTAGCGTTTGTTTTCGCATTTGTCATAATTTCACGTGTCTTCTCCAATGCTCGAGTACATCAATCGTATCGTTTTTACTCTCTTAATTTTATATTTATAATTTGAAACTTATAAATTGAAATTAATATAATATGTCAGATTTGTAGCTAATTTACACAATTTGTTTTTATAATTTACTTGCTGATTTTATAAAATGTATCTTTTGAATTTTTTTTACAAAAAAATTAAAATTACATTTTAAATTTATCTTGTATATCAAAATAAAATCCTTTATGTTAATAAAAAAAATCTTATAACAATTATTTCTTTTCAAATAATATTCTAAATTTATAAATATTTTGTGTTACGTACGAGAAATGTGCTAATGTTATATAAATAACTTTTCTATCTTATAGACCAGGTAAATAAAATAAGTTAAGGGACATAAAATATATTCTTTTAAATACTTTCAATTACTAAAAAACAGTAAATATTAAATATTTTTGTATTTCTAATATAATAATAGACTTGATTTAATTGGATTAGATTGATTGTTAGGAATAAATCTAAAATTTGATTAAATTTAATACATAAATTTTCGTTGCAGTTTATATTAAATTTATTTGGTCTACGATCACCTTTATTTTTTTCCTCCTAAATATTACAATAATTCTTTTTAAAAAACATCTAGTTCGATGAATTAACGTCACGTTTTTTTTTCTGTCCGAATATATTATATATCTATTTTTTTTTTCTGTCCAAACATATTATCTCCCATCTTCTCAAGATTGGTCATTGAGAAATGCTATTTGAACAAAAAAAAAATGTACAAATTTTATTGCAACAACTTAGAGAAATATAAAAAATTGATAAAATGGGTGATGTAATTAAAAAGAAATAAAAGAAATTTATTATTGTGAAAATGTTATAACCTTTACTTATTATGGAAAATCACTGCTCCCTAATTCTATCTCAAATCTGACTTACTTTCTCTTTCTCTTTTTCCTCACCTCCACTTTTTTTGAAATTGGATTAACAGAATTATATTCTAGTAGTTTTGCCACCTAAAAAGAGCTGGTTATATCTCAAGTGATTTATAAGACAGTCCAAAACATAATATTATGAAGCAAATAAATCTGTAAAGATAGACATCTTTCTTTTCTTTCCTAATTTCTTCTAAATTTTAAAACAAATTATTTATAAAAGAAAAAATCATTGACTCCCACATCAGGGGTCAATGATATTGTTAATTTAGCAGCAATTTTCAAAATAAAAAATTAGCCAAGCGCTTGACCAACTTAGGTGCAGTAGCCGTTTCAAGTGTTACTGTGCTACAGGCTAACTGGCTTTAATTACTAGTTTGTGTTCGAACTTTTTTCCGCCGCAGACGTCTCAGACGCGCTTCCAAATGCACTTTCTACAGTTTCCTTCAGTCAAACGCCCATTTGCAGGTTTGCAGGTCATGCAGGATTTCTAAAAGAAAAGAATAGAACATATGTTGTGGTGGAAATGAGGTATATTAGTAAAGCAATTAACTATTACCTCCCATAAGCGACGATTATTAAGCCACTAAAAACCAAAGCTTAGCCAAAATTTGCTAATATACTCCTACTTAGGTCGATATATTTTAATTGAACCGGGTAGAGGATTTGCAATTTTCAATCTATATCGCTAGTGAAATTTTACTCTCTTACCAATAGTTTGCATACAAGGCATGTTTGTGTGATCTGTAACGAATTCTCGTGTAATTGTGTAGAGTTCTTAGATTGATAATTGAATTGCTATAGGTTTACAAACCAAAATCCCTGAACTAATTAATGAGTTAAATTTTAAACTAAGTTTGAATTAATTAAGTTCATTGCCAATCCAGTGAATCCCTAAATTCAAATCTACTAATCACTTGTTCTTTTCGACAAAAATATGACATTTTTGCTTCCAATTTCCAAATGTTTCAACTTCCAACCATTATACGCTGTGAACTGGATTGTAACATTAAGGTAAACACGCCCATTTGTTAATGAATCATGAATTACAAACTCGGGCGTTTGCAACCTAAGAACCCTGACGTTTGATTATTCATCTAGCACGTGAACCAACATTGATAGTTTGATTCATTAAAAATCCTACCCTGCACTCTCAGTTCTCAAAAATTTCAGGTACTAGTAATCTAATGCGATGCAGCCAGAGTTTCTGTGGCCATTATTTCTAGAAACTTGTGAGGGTTTCGTCTGTAAATGGGAAAGGATATGGCAAGCATATCAACAAGCCTAGGAGCAAAACTGTTACTCCAAGAGCAACATATTTTTGTTCAGGATCGGTTATTTCCTCAGAGAGAGGAGCAATTGGACCTCTTTGCAAGAAGAATATGAGAACTACCCAGTAGAAAGCTACGTCATTAAATAGTGACGAGACTCCCAGCAGCACAATTGAAACTCCTGTGAAGCGCAATGAGGCCTGTGAAATAGATATCAATCAATATCTTCACATAAAAGGAAATAAAGGGAGGCAATTATGTAATGAGTCAAATATTATTTAAGATAATGGTAAATCAAGCTTCACTTATTAGAGTTTTCTTGTTCAAAAATATTACTAAACGGGATACCTTTCTTCCCCAAATGGCAAAAGAAATTCTCCCTCCATCAAGCTCGCCAGCAGGAATGCTGTTGATGGCATTGATAAGGAGTCCAGCCCAAGCCCAAATCACTAGAGGGTTGACAGATATTGCAGTTCCTTCCTTGAGAACGTTACCAAGAAGCAGCTTTGCTAAAAAATTTACAAAAATGTCAGTGCACATTCATTTTCCAAAATAATGAAGCAGCAGATAAAACTATTCGGTGATACATCAGGCAGTCATGGGAATAAATTTATTTCGTCACTCCATAACATAGATAAAGACAAATAAATGCCCATTTGAAATTATTTTCATAAAACTCAAAAATGAATACAGGCACAATTCTATCTAAATTTATTTACGCTATATAGCTTACCAATACCGCCAGCAAGAAATGACTCGTGAAACACAGAAGCATCAATAACAACACCAAGACCATCACTGGGAGGCAAGACAAAACCTAGAAGCAGAAGCAAAAGACCAAAGGAAAAGCCAGCTATCGGTCCAGCAGCTGCAACCTTGAGCAGATGTTCACGATTGGATACTATGTTTCTTATCCTTGTAATAGCACCAAAAGAGCCTATCTGCCACCAAATTACTCGTCAGAATTTCTGTTTCTTGTAGAAAGATGTTATAAATTGTTTATATCAACAAAAAGAAAGTTGGCCAATATCCAAATTGTACATATCAACAAATTGTCTGTTTGAATCTTGACACTATACCATAATAAATTAGATAGCAAGAAAAACACACAAAAAAGGCACAATTCTATTCCTAGAGTACCACAAAATTAACTAAACTAGGAGAATTCAGATGATGTCATTCTTTGGAGACCCTTGTTAGTAATGCAAATCAGAAGCTGAGACTTTACTTTGTAGGAAAGCAACACAAGCAATTCCTAGATGACAAATGTACTTAAGGTCTTAAGCTATTTAATATAAAGATTGATCTGTAGTTACATTGTGCAATATAAACGCAGATGGAATGCTTCTAGCTGACATGCATCAACTAAAATAATTAATCAAAAATAAAAAATGAATCGAAGCTCTACATACAATTATAAATCCTCTGAATAATTTATGTAATGTGAACTGAACTAGATGGAAAGCATGATACCCTCAATTATTATGTTATTTAATTAAAGAAATATCTTCATAAAAAATCGTAACAGAAGATAATACAACCTGCCAGCTAGGTACAAAGTACGGAACCCCAAGTTTAACTCCAGTGTTGTTGGCAACTAAAAAGTGACCAAGTTCATGTATCCCCAGAATAAGTGCAGTAACAAGGGCTCCAGGTAGGCCATCCTTTAACAAGTTCAGATTGTCAAAAGTTGATCTGGAACATTAATATTATTTTGGTGAAACATCAAAATATGAAGCAAACTTACGAAAAAAAATATTTTCAAACAAAGAGTAACTATTCATAGACATTTCAGAATATATATTTAAAGGTAATCAAGTACTAAAACCTAAGCCTAAGCACCAATCCAAACTTTTACAGTAATTCGCACCCAGAATATATGCACAGCACTAAATTTCACTCTATGATTATAAGTGCATGCCAAATTGAAGCGTCTATGATATGAAACAATCAGTAAACCAGGGAAATGATAACAAGAAATAAAGATTTATTCCTAGGAAAGGTTGACAAGAATTCATCAACAATTAAAGTATTTTTTGAGATCATCCTGTTTAATAATCATAAAGCCTATAAGATCAACATATCTGTACCCAAATAATGTATTTGCTAAGACTGTTCTGAACATGTTACTTAAAGGAAGGACTGAGGAGTACAATAAGCTAGATCAATACAGAAAACAAAAATGCATGAAACAGTTTTGCATTCTGGCCTAAGAAATATCATAGTACGAAGCAACAAATGAATGCATAAGAAAACATAGCTCACAATAAATTGGATTGCAAAGCAGGAACATTGCGAAGCAGTAAGGTAAAAACTGTAACCAGTCCAAAAGCTCCAGCAGCAAACCACTCAGGTACAGCTGCAAAGATTAACAACACCTTAAGTACAAATCATGAGCTTTACTATTAAAAGAATAACTCTTTTGATTCACAAGTACCAGTTGTCTCTGGTTGTAAGGTTGTTCTTGGAACCACAACGGCCACAGGCTTATCATCCTCAGGATTGAGTAGAAGGAAAAGCTTGTATTCATCTCCAAATTTATCCTATAATTTTTTTTTGGCAAAAATACAGTTCATACGTCAAACATTAATTTTAACATGAAGTCAGTCACAAATCCACTTAAGCAATGAAACAGAAAAATATGACGTACTTTCATTCTCTTAGATATCTTATCATAACTTTTGGCAGGTTGCCCTCGCAAGTTTCCTTTGAACAAAACTCCACCCTGAAGAAAAGCAGGACCCAATTTTCATACAACAGACCTTTGGGCATAAGTAAAAAGAAAAATACAGGAAAGGTTTGCTCACACCTCATAAGGATCTTGGCTTGTTACAAAAAAAGTATCAAAACCGAAAACTTGGTTCTTAAGAATTTCAATTGTTTCCTTGGGAATTTTTATTGCTTCATCCAGTTGCTGAGGCTGCTTAGAACATATAAAGAACAGAAACACAGAAGAATTAAAAAAGGAGAATTTCTCTTTAAAGCAGGAAATAGTGAACATAAAATGTAATCACCTTCACACCTGGCAGAGGTGATCCACTGGCAACTTCTTTGCTATCCATGTTCTGCTTTCATCACAAGCCCAAAGAATATAAAATAAGAAAACAAGCGCACAATACTCCTAACTCTAAATGACACAATTTCCACCTTTCTTCATTTTCTTTTTGCTAAATCAATCTAAAATAGAGTTACAATGATTGGTAAAGAAGATTATAGATAAAATCAGACTAGCAAAACTAGGTCTCATTTTAAGGACAAAAAAGAAAAATTTCTTTTACACATTATGAGTAAATAAGAGACTGAAATTAATCTCATTAGATAAATTTCTTAATACATTAGGTCCATTGAGTAAACCCCCCCCCCCCCCCCCTCTTTTCCCAGCAGGGTTCAATAAGACATTAAACAATGACAAAAATAACATTGGACAAACTTTGGCAACATATCCATTTCTGATCAAATTTAAAATGGCAGCTAAATAAACCGAACATCACCTGTACATCATTATCATTTTGATACTTATTTTCATCAACAAATTTGTTTAGTCTTTCTAGATCTACAGGCGGAGGGATACTTTGCTCAGAGGAATCTTCCGAAGGTTCTGCTTCTCCATTTTTATGTGCTTTCTCCTAGGTAAAATTAAAATTGCACATTGTCAAAGGGAAAGTATGGAAAAGTAAATAAAAGTCTACAATGTGTTTGGATGCAAATAATAAATAGGAAAAAAAAAATTCTGATATCTAAAACATAACCTATCAAAATTATATTGATTTTTAATTTGCTGAAATGTCCACAGTCCAAATGACAACTCTGTTCTTGATAAGAAAGTACTCCATCTATTTTTACACATCAATCACTTTCAAGGGACATGCGGACCCATTTAAGGTGACAAAGCTCTCCCTATGCTTTTCTTTTTCATCCACAAGACCCAAACTTAAGAATGTATTTAAGGAAACCAAGCTCCTTGCCACTTGGACCAAAAGGCACTAACTCCTTATTTCAATTTTATCCATATCTCTTGGTATTTCAATAAGACCCAGTTTGAATAAACTTACAGAGAAATCCTTATAAAAGAAAAAAATTATTATAAAAAATGAATATAACTTTTTTCATAAGTTAGAAACAACTTATACTTCTCTATGTTTTAAAAGTTCTAAAAAGCTCTCTCATTTAACTTCTTTGAAATTTCAAGAGATAAGTTGTTTTTAATTTATAAAAAAAAAAATTCATTTTTTATACTAATTTTTTTCTTTTATAAGGACTTCTCTTTAAGTTCACTCAAACTGAGTCTAAGTGTGTGTTTAGATCACATTTAATCAGCAACTGATCTACATTTATTCCAACATTATCATGTTCCAATGCAATTCCAAACAGGCTACAAGTGGAATGAGAGTGTGCACTAATGGAATGAAAGGGTAATTTATTTAAATGTCGTTAAATTTCCCTAAAATTAAGGATATTTAATGACTTTCTTAATCTAGAAAACAACCTTAAAAGACCAATATATTGGGGAGAAATTTAATTCATACTAATACTTCTCCTTCACGCATCATTTGGGAGTTGAAGCCCTAAACTAGCCAAGTGCTATAAGTGTTAGCAAACGAGTTATATCACACTAAATAGTATTGTAATCAAAATTCCAACTCTGTTATCCAAATTGTACCAAAATGCGACTAGTCCATAAGGAACTCAATTGGCTTGGTTAATAAAGATAAGTAAATGTTAACGAGAGTCATTAGAACACTTGCTAAAAACTAAAAGTAAAATGTATTCGATGAAAAATATTTATTACATTAACAACAAAAATATTATTTAATATAAATTTTAAGGTAATTAAAAGTATATATTATACTACTTAAGCAGTTTCTTAAAATCATTGGTTAGCAGACCCCACAAAAATAGCCATGCAAAGAATTTCGAACCATTTCGGCAAACTTCAACTGAATTCAAAAGTATTAATCCACACCAAACTTCAACTTGAGGAGCTTAATGTCAGTGAAAGAGAACATGCTGATTCATGAAGCAAAATTAAAAAATCAACAACGGAAGGAGAAAAACGAAGTTGAAAAAGATCTAATAATAGCAAACCAAAAGTACCTCCTCGTTGTCCCCGTTATGTGGCTCAGTCACACTACAAGCAATCCCTCTCCTACGGCCTCAACCAGTTCAAAACCACATTGGCATTCGAAGCCAAATCAGTAACAATCGGAAAATGCAACGAATTCTCCTACAACGAAAAGAAACTCGTACCTTGGGTTCCGAATCAACTTAAATGAACTCCAACGACAACGTGAATGGTGAAAACGAAGATCGAATTCAAAGCAAGAGGTGCAGCGCGATAGAGGAAGGAGGAGATTGCCGCGAAAAGCTGAAGGTGCTGCTATTGAGAGATTCATGTTTCCGTTTGGAGAAAAAAGAGTACCTCTAATTGAGATGAAACCCTAGTGCCATTGAAATGAAGAAAAGATTGAAGAGAATGGCATATAGAAGAAGGAGTAGCAGTGGAGAGGAACCATTTATCCGCTATTTTTTCGCTTAAATACCCGCGCAAAGATATTTTTATCGTTTATAGGACAAATGTAGAGCGGGCGAAGTTTCGAAAACCCAATCATTGTTTGACACGTAAGTGGATTAAAAGACTAGATAGATTTAGATCCCCTTCCCTTTCTCAATTTTAAATCTTTTTAATTTATTTGGAATTTCCAACATGCAAGATAAGCCACGTATTTATCATAAGAAATTTTGCTGAGGCATATTCAGTGTTTTAAATCTTTTTATTTAAATTAGATTTCATATGAGTTCCATTAAATTAATTTATGTAACACTTTATTCAATTAATTTCAGAAATGTATCATAAAAATTTTCATTTGAAATTAGATATAATTAAAAATTATAACAACCCAAATTTAAAATAATGTTTAAAAAATACTTAATATTTTAAAATTTAATAAATATTTGTTTTTTCAAAAATAAATCACTAACTCTTAATTTATTATATTTAATATAAAATTAATAGGTAATGATTATCCCACAAGATTATTTTTTTATATATGATTTTTTTTAAATTCAAAAATATAAATTTTTTTATAAAATTATAGAAATATGATTTTAATTTTTTTTAGAAATTGCCATTGGCAAGTTTGGTTAAAAACTATCAATGGCAACTTTTGATATATTTTTCAAATATTTAGTTTTTATAAAATCGTCATTTAAACTCTATATTTCTGTAAGTTTGCAAAAAATTTCATATTTTTTGAATTTTGAAAAAAAAAATCATATATATATATAAAAGCTTTATCTCTCATATTTAATATAAAATTTAAAGTTTAATACAATTTTTCCCTCTTCATATTTAAATCACCGTAAAAATTACTTTTTTGAAGTTTCGCTTGCTTTTCATTTACATAGTCTGTAATGGAAGCCCTATCAATCCCTGTTATTTTCCTACAATTCCGTTCTTAAATTAAAAGCAGATTCTAATTCATTTGAATCAGACACAACAGAACTAGTTAGGGAATTACATGTTGTACTTTTATTAGGGATATCATGTTAAACCATGTAACAAAAATCCGTTAACTGAGTGATCCATCTTTGATGTGTGGTGAACAAAAAGTTGCTTCCTATCACCCTGGCTGGCTTACAATCGCAAAATAATGGCTAAGAGATTCATTCACATATCATCTGGCTTTTCATCCCACCTACTCTTGCGCCTTCTTCTAGTGCCACTTTGGGGAGCTTCCCACTGCCCAATTAACTTCTCAATTTGTTCAGATAATGGTGGAATAGGAAAGTGGATATGTTCCATGTCGTCATCACTACCAATCCATCCAAGGTAACGATTGCGCCTGTGATATGGAAGACGGTCAAATGCTTCTGAGGATTGAACCATCTGAGTCTTGACTAAAGTGCTCTCAACATTGCTGACCAACTTGCTGTGATTGCTTCCTTTGACACTATCCACGGGCTTTAGCTCATTTTTAGACTCCACCCTAATGCTTTGTTCATGTCCTCTATCAGTTTGCACAGCCAAATCCTTAACTTCTAGAAACAAAATAGACAACGATTTGGCATTAGCAAGAGAAAGATCAGAGTAGAGTTTTTCTTTACTATTTGGAAAATTAGACGTCATTTTTCCAAATGCTCTGAAGTTAAGCAGCAAATGTATCCTGTGCTTGCAATTGAACCATAGCTTTCAAACTATTGAATTGCAGAAGAAACTTTAACTTGTATATTAGTTTAGTTTAATGAATCAAACTCCAGCAAATAAGTAACCAATCATGCTTATGTTCATAGAAGACAGATTTATACATGTCGCCGAACACAATATACCAACCTTGTTTTAGGAACTGAAGTTCAGGAAGCTCATACTCTTGCTAGCTGTGAGGACTTGAGTAAATAGATTTCAAATGGAAAGAATTGATAGAGGTTGGAATAACATTACCAGTTTCTACATTGCCGAGTGATGCAGGGTCATGATCGTTGGTTTCAGATACAGAGTCCAAACCATCACTAGTATGAAATAACGTTTCCTGAGCCAGGCAAGAGAAGCCAGCTTCAGTAATCTCAGTTGTCGGAGAAGCTGCAGCTGATGTCTCATTAACACTGTCCCTTCTTGCACTGTCCTGCAAAGGATCCTCGTTTTTCTTGTTTGAAGGAGAGAAATGTATATATTAGTGAGTGATAAAAAGTACCATACATTTAACAATCTAGGCTTAGCGTCTTATATGCCATCCAAGTGAAATCTTTCACATTATTTATTTAGTTGTTCATTCACTCATTCAATTAAAAGTAAAGGATTATTGAATATCGCGAAATATTTCCTCTGGTTGGATAGCATGAACTGTTATTTTGAAAAGGTGTACACAACCAACAGAAACAGTGAATAAGAGATTATGATCTAAGTTTCAGAGCTAAAGAAAATAGAATTTCCCCAGAAAGGTTCCATATTTGATAATTTTCTGATAAGCTATGGCTGCTAGTGAATTATGGCTGTAAATCATATTACCTGAAATTCAGAATCTCAATACATTCATAAAACTTGCAAGTCCACTAAGTTGATAAAAAATTTAGTTTCCTACCAAAGAATGATCTGGGAGGCACCTACAAAAACCGGATGCCTATGTTTCTTATACCTAACACATGCCTTCCATAAAACATGACTTTCTAAGATATCTATCTTTATACGTTAAAGAAAAAACCATAAAGCATAGAATAAGATCCGTAACATCAGTAACCCAACTGGAGGAAACTTCTATCATGGACATTAAACAACACCAAATCCAAATGGCATTTCTATGTGTACGATGTGTTAAACAATAAAAAGGAAGCTTTAGACAGTTTTGATGTCGGAGAATAACTAATGAAAACGCAAGAAGAAATTGACCAAGCGAAGACTAGAAAAATGAGGGAAACCATAATAAGGTATTATTTTCTCCACATCTCGGAGAGAATAGTGATCAGAACTTGGGCACATTACAGAAGAGCAAGCTTTGCGATGAAGTAGAATTAAAAATAACAAAACCCAAAAAGGGAATAATTGTATAAACATAAGCGAAAGAAAGAAATAATGAACACAAGTGTAAAATGGGAACATATTAACTCGTTTGCTATAAATATTTACCCTATCTTCTGCTGAAGTTTGTTGTTTGGCAAGTAAGGTTTCGATTAGGAGCTTGTAAGAAGCCTCTTCAATAAAGGGCCATCCTTGTGTTCCTTCATATACCTGAACAAACCAAGGGATTAAAAGTAAACCAAAATGATGAAAACATTTAGCACTTTTTTTCCTTTAAGAATTTGGAGAAGAGAACACCAACATCTAGAAGCTCTTTAACCGTTTTTCGAACCAGATGTTTCTGAAATCCAAGTTGAAGCATGGCATCCAGGGCAGCATCCATGCGCGTGTTACCCACCATCCTGTCCTGCAAACATAATGCAGAAAAGTTGAAGGAAATGTGAAGAAGAAAGTTGAGAGGGTGAGAAAACAGCAGAGAGAGCGAGAAATGAAAAACCTTTCTGCGGTGTTCTGCTCTTGGCGCCATTCCTAGTGTTCTTCTTTCAGCAGAAGAAACGAAATGAAGGGCCCTTTTTTCTTGTTGAAAATATCAAAGTGCACAGAATAGAAGAGAAGAAAAAGAAAAATAACTTGATGCGTGTGTTTGCAAAGTTGGATTTGAGAGTGAGTGCTGTAGAACGAGGAAGAAATGCAACGAGAACGTGTGTCCTTCAAATGGTACAGCTTTCACAGAACAAGGAAGGAACTGATGACGTGGCAGTAACCATGCTACCATTGGGGTTTGCTCTTTAAACGCCATGTTTTTGGTATGATTAGACATGATTCTTGCTTCATAATCATAAATAATCATTAAACACGATCCGTGCTTAGGGATACTCACAAAGGGGGGCAAATTTTTGGGTAGTTTGAGAGCCACTCTCACCTTGTGAATAATTATAAATTTTATTTTAAATTATAGAATTTATATACATATTTTTACAGTACAAAACTTATACGGTTAACAAAATTTGATATTAAAAATTACGACACTAATATTAAATATTGGTACATATTATCAATTAAACTCTCCTTTTAATTAAAAAAAAACACAACCAACAAACTGGAAATTACATAATTTTTGCCACTCACCAACTATAATATTTATTTGTTTGTTTAAAAAAAATATGCATTTTCCAGTCATAAAAATTCCGTCTCTTCCCGGTTCAACGAAAAGAAAAAGGTTTAAAAAATTTGTTGTTTATCACTCCTATCATATACCCAATTTTCATCCATATATATATATATATATATATATACCAAAATCAATATTTTGTTTATTTTTATTGAATATACAAAACTTAGTTTGGGAAAGAAAAATAGCTAACTTTAAACTATAAAATTGAATTTAAACAAATAATGATAAAAAAAACATTTATTATATTTTTAATATAATAAATATATTTTTAATAAAATTTATTATTTTAAATGCTTAAAGTCAATCTCGAAAGTTAATGTTAATTTTTTCATTGCTTTAACGTAGTATGTATGATGCAGACTTGTTGCCATAGTGGGTCAAACCATTCTGAACAAATTTGGACCTCTCTCAATGCTGCTAATGTTTGATGGGTTGGGTCCTGATGAATTTTATTTAGAATGTAAGAAAAAGGGCAAAGAATAAATAAATATAGTGTTTCTTTTGTCAGGATTTATATTTAGATGGGAATAGAAAGATAATAATAAAAAAACTAGACGCGTAAAAAAGAATGTGCGTGTACCATGAGATGATGGCATTGTAATTTCATAATAAAAAATCATATATTTCATTTATTATATTTAACGATTGGCAGGATTTGACCATATATATAGTTCAAAACCTAATTAATCTACCTTAATTCTTATCCACGTGTTCATGAAAAAAAGTTTTGAAGTTTCATAACGAGAATTTTTGGAAAAAAAAAAAGTGTAGATAACATGCAAAAATATTTTCAAATATTTTTTTTTTTGTCAAAATATTTTAAATTAAGCTGCAAAATTATGAGCACCTATTAATCACGCTGAAATAATTAAAAGTTGCTTTGAAACAATCAAAATATCTTACACTTACAGTGTCACATATTAAAAAAAAAATCTAGAAGTTGAATTTGAATTATGAGTACAGCATAGAAACATTTATCTTTATTTATACATATTGGCTAATTAGTAGTCAAAAGAAAAAGTTGTCTATTACATTGGTCAAGACCAATATCTTTGTAGAAAAATAGCTTAACAATTAAAAATAATATTATTATTTTATTTAAAATTTTTGCCTATTAAAGGTCAAATCTTGTATATTGATGAATTAAATTAGAAAGAAAATTCTTCGTTCATAAATTTTCTTTTGAGAACATTTTAGAATTATGTCCCACTGATATCACTTTTATTACTTTTTATATTTAAAAATTTCTATTTTATTTATTTATTATTGTTATTTTATAAATTCATTTACAATTTTACATTTTATAAACAATGTCTGTTTAGTAATAGTAATAAATGAAGGGTAAAATAAGAAATTAAGTAATATTTTTTATAAAATTTAAAATGTTAATAATTTTAAAAAATTCTTACGCAAAATTTTAAATGTCAAAGAAATAAAACGAAAGAAATAGTCACAAATTAAATATTCAAGAGTTCTTCGCACATATTTTTCTTTATTAGACTGCTGAAAAAAGGTTTTATCAACATTAGTTTCTAAGGTCGAGTTTACACATGTAATAATAATATTTTATTACAAATATTATATATATTAACCCTAAAATGTACTTAATGATCTATAGATATACTACTATATTACATGAGACATTAAGGTCCATCCGAAACGTATACAGCACCTACAGTAGGCTTTGCTTGGTTGAATGTAGCAATAATTAGCAATAGCATGGTTAACAATCCATCAAGAAAAGTAAAAATGGACCTATGGATTCCGTCAACTTGCACAAGAATGTAAGCATAACGTAGCTTATAAAGTCAGTTTATAGTATAAATTATAATTTAATACTCACCAAAATCATATTCAAATTCAACCCAGAAAACAGGTTCGGTGAATTATCATGATAATGGCAAAAGTAAATTCACCGACACCACATCATATCTAGTTCTTTGAAGCCATGACACCAATCGTTGTCAGTATAAATACCTTCCTCTGAAGGATAAGCGTGTGGCATTGTTTACTACTATACTGTACATATTCGTCGTCTTTGTAAGTTTCTATTCCATTCTCCATCCAAAAGGATAAGAACCTAAGATAGTCACAAGTTATACATCGAAGAAAATGTTGTATCCATTCATACCTTTAGACATATATATCAGATAAGTTTCAACATAAAAAGAAAGCATGGACTTCCAAAATATCTACACAGGAAAAATGATTCCTAATAGTGCATGATCCACTTTTTTTGGGTCCTTTCTTGATCCACTTTAAGCAAGACCAAATGAACAGTTAGTCATGCACGTAGGTTTCTATTCTTCCCACGTATACTGTGTTTTTGCCCTTTTTTCTTATTTTAAGTATAAAGTACGAATAATGATATGATAACATATGATTTGAGTGTCTATTCCAGACACCCTAAACTGAGTATTAAAATAGTATTACACATAAAGTATACATTGGATGATCTTGTAATCGTTAAAAAATATTTTTAAGCACCTAAATAATATTTACACTTATTATTTAATATTCTTTATTATATCATATCATATAATTTATCACTTTTCTTTTTTCTATTTCACTCTCTCTAGCTATAGTAAACTATTACATTGGAATAGTAAGAATTTGCTCTGGCCCAACCTCACTGCCTCCATCCATTTGAGAGCACACAGCTTTGTGGGCTTTTATCAAGTATAGTCTTTCTTCCGGTCCTGTCTCCCTTGAGCATATCATGTTGACGTTGTTTTACAAACAGTTGCTTAACGTGCTATTAATACTGTTTATTAATATAAATTAAAGTTTTATTTTGATAAATCTATAATAATATTAAATATAAATATAAATATTTTTTAAAATAAATGAATTAGATGCTTGGTTTTGAAATCAATCGCACATTCCACCATGTAAAAATGGTAAAGAAAATCTCACCTCAATTTCCAGTTCAAAACATTTCTTATTTTAAATATTTCAATTATTTGAGTGGAATATAAAAATTTATAGGTTTTAAGAATGAAAACCACTAACATAATGATATTTATAATAATTAAAATTGACCCAAAAATTATTATTTAATCTTAAATTAATTATAGCAAAGTATAAAAAATTGTAATTAACTTAATTTTAAATATCACTTCTTTTAATTCATTATATAAAACTTTTTGAATTAAAAAAATTATCGTATAACGTATAAACCCTTTGTTTGGCTAATTTTGAATATTTCAATCAGTGTAGGGAAAAATAGACTGTCATGACAACTATTTAGAAAGTATTTTTTTTGTAATACTGTGTTAACTCTAAACTTATTATTAGATAGATAATTATTAATTTTTTACGTGAATAATTGATAAAATACTCATGATAGATTGGTAAGACGACAAAGGTAAAGATAATGAGATTCCTCGTTTGAGGATTTTTCTTCCGTCTGTGTCTGTAAGGATATAAACAAGTTATTTTTATTCATCTTGTTTTGTGGGCTGCACAGTGCACATATATTCGATTTGTTGTGTAATTGCTTTTGATAATTCGATCCAATAATATCAAATAGAAACAAAGGATGGTTCTTTTGCTTATGGCATTTTCAATGAGGAAGCAAAATGAAAAATCATCTCATTGCCTTACAATTAGGGAATTTTGCTGTTTTCCCCTCAATTCCAGGTCCACCTTTGGATTCTATATTTCTAAACAAGACTCAAGATTTTAAAAGAAGGTTGAATTGGAGAGGTCGTGATAAGGGGAATATAGATAAAGGTGAAAGGTACAAACACCAAACTCAGATTAAGCCTTTACAAAATCCTCAATTATTGCCCACCAAATTCTAAAACCTTTCCATGTCATACACACCCCAATTCCCTTTTTTCCGCTGATCAAATTCCAATTTTGACTAGTCAGACATACAATGAAACTCATAACTTGAACGATAAAGAACATAATGATAAAATGGCTTCAACAGAACGAGGGAATCTTTAACAAATATTGTAAAAAATGCTGGTCAAGAATTTCAGCTTACCGTGTTTATAATGAGAAATACCGGTACGAGTTCATGGATCGCATAAGTAGGCTTGGAAGATAAGAAGCAACATACATTACACGCCTTCATATTTTAATTTCACAAGACATACATGATTTAGTAATACTTAAGATTTTCAAGGGAAAAAATCATTATATAGTCCTATGGGAACATTATTAGAAACATGCAGGCTTTACTTAAAGTCGCTATATGCCAATTGCCAAACATCAATCCCTATATATATATATATGAGCTAACTATAGGCCATGTTTATGATTAACCCAAATGATTCAAAAGCAAAATATAACAATGTTGCCTTGCTACACAAGGGAACATATGCATTGACAATATTTATATGGAGATTAAACAAAAAGATAGGGAAAATACAGCTCACGCCACACAAGGGGGGAGATGCTGATGCATCCCTATGTATCATGCGAAAGAACTTATGATTTTCAGTGATGCAGTGTGTGATTGGAAACTGGGGCTTTTGGTGGGCACTGGTAGCACTTAGCAAATAGTCCAAATGTGTCAACCTGTTTGATGAAGTTTGACATGCTAGCCCACCCTCCAAATCCGAAGCCTACCAATAGAACCCACACTACCACAAATGCATTTATCACATACATTGCAGTCCAGCTTGGGATGAAGAAGGGCAATTTCTCTGCAGCATTCTGTGAACAAAACAGAAATAAATAATCAAGTAAAGAAGTGGCTTTGAAATTGTTAACTTGTTGCTTGAACTGTTAATAAGACAAAAAGTGGTGTCAGTTCACTGTAAGATGTTGCTGACTTATTTTAGCATCTGTTAGGAGTGAGAACAGGAACAGGAACAGGAACAGGAACAGGAATAGTAATGTGAGTACTGAGTAGGGTCACTTAAGAGTTGGTTAGGTTGGCCATGGCCCAGTTCACAGTTAAAATGTTGACATGTGGTTAGCATAGTAACAGTGTAGTGTATGACTATAGCATGTAACTGAATGACAGAGAAATGGCACCAACCTCATCTTGACTCATAAGTTTTTAATTCGAATAATTAACACAACTAGTGGGACAGATACTTAAACTGCCAGTGACATGGGAAGTCTCTTCCAAGTTTAATCATGAAGCTAGAATCATATCCTCAAACACAATTACACCATGCCACATAAGAGAGAAAAGAATCTCATTGGATGCTTTATCAGACTTGCTCATAAAAAAGGGATGGTCATCAATATTGAAAACATTTTTTAAAGGTTATATAGCTTTTGGGCAGGGAAGAAAACAGTGCCTAATTAAGTTGTTTGTAAAGCACCCTAGTAACCCAGTTTCATTGACTAGAACAAACAAGCCTCAACAGTTACTATTAGCATATGATTTGTCTACACATTATGAATGAAGAAAATTTCACTATCTACACAGTAGAGCAAGTTGGATGAGACACACATTAGGTAGATTGTGGAAACAAAGATAAGATTGGAGAGATTGGACTATTTACCTGTCTAGCAGAAGCAGACCTATAAGTGATCATATGAGCAGTAGCAGGAATGATATAGACTGTGAAGCTAACCAAAAGAGCCCCCACAGCAGAGTTAATGGGACCAAAGAAAGGGAAAATAATAGCCAAAAACCAGATTGGTATCACCACAGGCAACCTTGCAAGAGCCCTCAAACATATACTCTTTGTGTCATGCATTCCAATCACCTTCTCCCACACAAAATACAATGGTGTACAAGCAAATCCAAAAGTGATAAACTGAAATTCATATATTAAAAAAAGGTATCATTTTATATAACATTTTTTTCATTTATAAATAAAATTATTATTTAATTAAGAAAATTAGAAGTTTTGAGGAGATGGACCTGGTGAATGAGCATTAAGATGACACCCGCATCACGCCAACCAGAGCGAGGAAGAAGAGAGAAGGCATTGGAGTGGTCCAAGAGTTGGTCACCAAAGGCCCAGTAAACGGCAGTGGCAGATGGGAGGGTGAGTGTGAATACATAAAGAGTAGCAAAAAGATAGATATATTTGAACTTTTGAGGTTTCCACATTGCATGCATGACTTCCCTGTATAAGTCATATATGGTCCACGTTAGTGCATATTGTTACATCAACTTAAATCTGCAAATGACCCATGTGCTCTCGTCTCAAAATCAAATCCCTTCTATTTCCGCTAATATGCTCCAAGTCGAAAATGAAATTGGGTTTGTCAGACCTGGGATATGTCCAAATACATTACAATCGCTTTGTAAACTGACTTTGCAGTGCACCTTTTATTTTTTAATTTAAACACATTGCTTTACCCGAAAGGGTTGAAATTATATTAGAAAGGAAACAATTTGCCTATTGGAGAATTTCTAAAAAAGATAAATTGTGCATTTTTGTACTAATCACTTGTTTCAAAATCAATGGCCCCATGCATTGGATGATGGTGATACTAGAAGCAACTCTGAGAAATCGTACATTAAAATATTAATAAATGCGTACACAAGTATACATAATTTTTGTGTTGCATATTTTTCACTGTAACTACAAAAAATTACTGGAGGCAACTAGATAGCTAGTACATATCATGAGGTAAAATGTCACTGCGGTTGTTGTATTGTATAGATAATTAGATATATCTGAAGAGAGAAATTGATAAAGCTCAACTGGGGCATGAAGTATTTTATAGCTAAGTTCAAATGGTTGTTCAAAAGTGTCAGATTTACTGTTTTGTCTTATATCCAAAGTCCAGAGGCAAAAGCTGCAATTGAAGAAAGTGGTCGTGCAATAAACTTCTACTCTCTTTGATGTTTCATTGTCTTAAGACAATAAAGAAAACTTTCATGATTGTATTGTCTAACTAAATACTCAAAATATTAAAAAAAAAAAAAAGGGGGTCTCACACTGTGACGGCGTGCCCGCCGAAAGTGTAGAGTATGTTGGTGGCGCCAGTGAAATACAAAACCAATTTTTTTGGGCCCGTATGAGTCACATTTTCAACCTGCAAATTAAATAACCAATTTTTTTTTTTTGTTACACCAATTTATGATCAAACGGCATCAAATGAGAGATACCCCACAAGAGAAATCAACACCGTTGTACTTGGTATTGCTTACCTGGCCATGAACAAGAGCTGCAATGGTCAAGTACCAAGCTGTGTACGTGGTCATGCCAAGGCCAAGGAAAGACCAAATCCTATAGTTATGAAACGAAGGTATGAACACTGTGGTGGCACAGCAAGCTCCGAAAATGTATGTCCAAGTCCTCTTATCCAAGTGGTCATTTATGTAGTATATGTTACTGCATAGTGTATAGTACATACCCCAAAGGAAATTATCTAGTAAAGTCAACAAATCTCACTGTTTTTTTGTTATTATTTAATTATGTAATGAAATTCATGCTATAACCAAAGGAAATTCAGACCTTGCACAAGCTATGAGCTGAATAACAGATCCAAAGAGTAGAAAAGTACAATTGAAGGCCAAGCCAATGGCTTTCCAGTACGGACCCAATAAACCTTCCAACACTTCAAACCACTGCATAAAATGAAATTAAATCACTGACCTTGTTCAATAAAGTAAAAATGAAAGGGTTTAAGAAAAGATTTTTTTTTATTTCATTTTATATTTACCTGAATGACATGGTTTTTGAAGCTGACATTCTCTTTCTCTTTTCTGCTCCTGTACTCAATGTACAGAATGCTAATCAAATATGCAGTCCAACTTCCAACGAGGCCATAGAAGATTTGGAATATGACGCCTGAAAGTATTCCCAGCTGAGAGAAAGAGTATGGCAGTGTTAACAGAACCTGTGCAACCTGCACAACACAAAAACCAAAAACTTTATTCTCTTCCACTAATCCAAACGGGGTACAGAATGATTATGTTATGTTATGTTATTACCTGATTTGAGGCACAGCTGAACCAAGCATCATAAACAGACCCACCATGCCAAAGAAGGCTTTTCAAGGTAGAATGTGAAGAACTACTACTACCCACCTTCTCTTCCTCTCTCTCATCACGCTCAATCGTCTCACTAAGGCTTGACATCATGGTTTCTTCACCTTGCTTCTGAGGTAACATTGTTTTCAGGCCTGAAAATGCATACACAGTCTATCATAAGACAAAACCAACTTAAGTGTATTTCGTCGGAACTATTGGTGGTGTTCACTAATCAAAATTAAAATTTTACTTTATCAATATAGTATATAGAACGCGCATAAATTTTGTCCTATTTCAAACAATGAGTTTGACATTTACCAAACCCAGAAAAAAAATTGACAACAGAAATCAAGCCGTGTACGAAAGAAAAAAAAAAGAATCACCTAATATTGGTCAATGTTACTCTGTGGTGAAAGCAGAGAGTTTGTATGTTTTTATAGTGACAGAAACGCCAGCTTATTGGGTAGGTGTTGCGGTTTTGCTGAGGGACGTTGACAATTTCACAGGGTTTTTTGAAGTCTTAAAAGTTTAAACTTGAGGGCTCCAATTGCAAGAGAGGGATGGATGCTTTTATGCAGAACCTTGTGGCATTAAGGTAACTCTCTAAACCTCTTAAATGCGGTTCTGCACAAGGAATTGGCAGAAGCTGGGAGTTTTCAATGGGAGTTTTCAATGCATGAGGTATTACCAAGTACTAAACTCAGCAAGTAAGAACCAGAAAATGAAGAAAAGGGTATTAAATAAGAAGGAAAAAGGATTGGTGGAGGGTTGAGTTTGGTTCCTGAACTTGGAGAATTGAGATCTGACAAAAGGAAGTAGAAGTACACCTGAGAGAGTGAAGTTGAAGTTTTGGAGCTGCTTGAGACTTAATTAAAAATAATAGTGATAAAAATAATAAAAGAGACCAATGGAAAAGGAAGAACTCTGTTTAAACTCTCTATTTGGTTTATTCTTGACAGGCACAAAGATGTTGGTGTGGCTTCTCTTATAGTATGTGTAGTTCACCTCTCTCTCTCTTTTATGTGTTTATTTCTGCCTCCTGCTTTTTGGCTGGGAAGTCTATCAAAATGGTTGGCCACTGCTGTTTGTGTTAGGATCAGTATCAGTGATCAGTATAAGGGAAATATAGATAATCTCCTATATTAGCTAGTTAATTTTTTGGGACAAAAAGTTGGCAAATTTTGGGATGAATAATCAAATTGGTCTTTAAAAAAAAATATCAAAAATATTTTTATCTCTAAAAAAATTGTTTAATTTTTTAAACTTATTGGGGAAGAAAACTTTAGTCTTTACATTTAATGAATACAAAACTAGCATGTTTTTACTTTATAATTTGAGAGATTGTTTATTAATTTTATTTTCAAAAATTAGATTGAGCTGAGTGATTGTTTTATGAACAAAATTGGAATTTTATTCTATTTTTAAAAGTAGAGTTGTATTATTGTTATTAAGTATAATAAGAATATTAATTAATAATATTTAATAATTTGTTAATAACTGTTAACTATCACTTAATATTTACTTACTCTGTAAATGACCAGGAGTCATTTAGTTTAGTTCGAATTAAAGCCCCATTGAGTATTTAAATTAGACTTTAAAAAGTTTTAATTTTATTCTAACTATGAAATAAAAGCTGAAGTTTAAATTTTGAATTTACATTTTATAATTTAATTGTTTAGGTCAATTTGAAATTGATGATGCATAAAAGATTAAAACTATTTCAAGTTTAAAACTTATTATTAACTCTACTTATAGCCTTTCAATTATGTGTTTTAAAGGGAAAATCAAGCAGGGATAAAAAAACAATTAAAGGAGAAGAAAGCACCTCCATAAGTAAACCAATAGTAAATATCACTTTTAAGGTACGATATGAAATATATTTATCATTTATGAACAATATTAAATTAATTATACCTATTTTATTCTACAATTATTCAAATCAAAATTGGAACACCGTTGAAATTGCGGTTTTCGAGAGAAAAAAAGTAGTAATAAAAGTTTTTGAAATAAAAAAATATTCATTATTAAATGAATTATTATAACAAAATAATAATATAGGGAAATTAGAAACTTTAGTTTCATTTATTCATTCATTTTGAAAAAAAAAATTAAAATAAATAAAGATGATGAACAATGGAGAAATAAAATATAAAGTAACATTCTATAAGAAAAGAAATTATAAAGTAACTTTCTCAAAAGGAAAACCAATATTAAATATCATTTTTGAGATATGATAATACATGTCTATCCTCATATGAAGAATATTAATTTAATTATCTATTTATTATGTAATTATTCAAATGAAAATATCAACACTATAAAGGTGAAGTCTTGTAAATAAAAGTTAAAATTGTTTTTAAAATTATATAAAAATAGGAAATAAATGATACTGAATTAATTATTAAAACGAGAAGGTAGAATAGACTTTTAAAAACAATTAAATGAATAAAAGAGGATAAATAATTGATAATTAAAATAAGGAGATAACATTCTCAAAATGAAAACAAATATTAATTACCATTCTTATGACATGATAATAAAATGTTGGTCCTCATATGAACAATATTAATTTAGTTATCTATTATATTCTACAATTATTGAACCAAAACTAAAGCTGTAAATTACAATGCAAAAATTTTGATAAATTAAATTAAATATTAAACTGTAAAGTGTAAATATATAACCAATATTAAATAGCACTTTTATAGTATGATATCAGATATAATTATCCTCCTATCAACAATATTAATATTTCAATCAAATTTATTCTAAAATTTCCTTCAAGACAGTAGTTTTCAAAAATACAAAAAAATAAATGTTTTAAAATAAGAATAGTATGGGAAACAACCTATAAGTAAACTAATTATTAAAGCAAAATAATATTAGACTTAAAACTGTGGGTTGTAAATATTGGATCTTAAATTTTATATTTTAATTATGAATTTTGTTAATCTTAACTCTAAAAGGATAAGTAGCTAATAATAATAAAATTTTATTTAAAAGAGAAATATTTATTATATTTTTATAACTTCAGTATAATAATTATATATTTTTTTATAAAAATTTTATATTTATAGATGCTTAAATTTAAGCATAAAGGTTGAGGTTAATAAAGTCTTTTAATTATAATGTTTAGATATATATTATTTATTATATACATTAAAATAAATAAATTTAAATTATGTCATGTGACAGTTTCTTATATATATTTTTTGTTTAACATTATTTCTTTTTTTAGAAAATTAACTAATTATTATTAACATTATATAATCCAGAAATTCTTATTAACATGCTTAAAGTTAGAGAATCTAAAGTGTTAGACTTTTGACGTATACATTTTTTTATAATTATAAGAAACTGGCATCATGCTACAAAAACCTACGTATACATTGCATTATATAAACGAATCATATCAGAAAGAAAGAAAATTGTTTATTATTAGACTTATGTTCATTTGTTTTTTGAATAACAAATTAAAAACAGTATAAATATTAGGATTTTTTTTTTATTATGTATATCAAGAATATAGTTTAGCCGATAGCAAGATACTAATCTCTTTTGAGATACAGAGATTTATACATAATTACGAAATGCATCTTAATCCACATATTTAAATATTTTTATTATTTATTAATACGTAAGTTTATTATTATTTTAAAATATTTATTGTTATTTTTAAAAAATATTTTTATTTAAAATACTTTTATTGCATTTTTTAAATTGATTAAAGTTCTAAGAACAATGAAATTTAAATTATAAAAAAAAGCATCTTAAATTGACGTAGTATTTTAAGATTTTAAATAAAATAAAATTGAAATAAAGGAATACTATTTAAAAGAAATAGAAATTTAACAAAAATAAAGTTAAAATTTTAATTAAAAAAATTAAAATGTAATTCTAAAAGCTGGTATGACTTAATAACAATAAAAATAACTCTTGAAAATATAATTAAAAAATGAAGACTGATATAAGAATAAATTATAAACGAATAATTATATTTGTTTATGAGAAATATAGCACAGTTGGCATAAAGACTATTTGCATAAACATCCTAATATTATGTTGTTAGCATAGAATGACAAAACAAATTTCCATCAAATAAAGACTATAATAGTGAAAAGTAGCCTAAAGATTGACATTTTTTTCATTAGGATGTTACTTTTCTTGGTAGCCAAAATAACACTTTAATATGAAATAATTTTATTAAAAAAAAGTGACGAAATGGAAAATGACCATTCACAGATAAACATGATCATACACGGATACATAAGCTGTTGAAATGTAAGATATATTTTAATAAATTCATCACGATTCATCTAGTCTCGTTTCATGTTCATCAGAGCATTGTTACAGTTTGTTGTGTATGTATAATCATTTATAGTCAATATAGAGTGAAGAACACAATTATAACTATATAGCTGAAGTCAAATATAAGTTTAGTTATTTGTAGACAAAATAAACATAGAGACATAATTGTAACTATATAATTACGACTCAAGAGAAAAGTAGAAAAATAAGTAAAACAAATTAAGATACATGGGTTTATTTAAAAATTTTAAAGTAAACTACATTTTAAATTATAGTATATATATTGTAAAATGAACAATTTGAATAGTTTATTAAAGGATTTGATTGAAGAAAAATGAAACTTTTGACAAAATGGGAGTCTTGGTAACAGAATTTGGTGAACTAATCCTTTGAGAGTCAAAAGAAAGGGGCATTGGATGTTTTATTTTGTTTATATGGATCTATCAAAATCATATCAATGTTACCTTTCCTTATGAATGAACTAAATTAACATGCTTAGTGATTGGGGGGACCGCTCTCCCTCGTTCACTCGGTTTCTAACTTTTCCATAATATGCTCCTTGTCTCCCTTTTTCTCTTACTCTTGACTCATTATTTGCTTCAACCTTATTATTTTGCAACTTGTTTCATTTTTACACAATTTCAATTTAGCATTATCCTCTCCTATTTCCTGTTCACCCTATCAAATCCACCCTATCTCAGTGGAGGGCAATTTGTGCATCTCTAGGCAGTTCCATTACTAAAGAGAATCTTAGATCATGAGGTAATCCACCACTTAAGTCATCCCTTGTCTTTTTCCCACAATGCTATGTACCATACATAGTATTAGTGTAGATATTAACAGGAATAATAACTTCATTATCTCAATATAATAAAACTAATAATACTAGCAATCTTATACAAAATTATATATTTTTATCTTTACTATCTCAAATTTGTGTCAAACAACACTTTCCTATGTTTGTTTAAGCTTTTAAAAGCTCTTTAAGAGTTGTTTTCCGCAATAAAAAAATCTATTCATTTTATTGCTTCAAAACTCTAGAAAAGAATGCTTGTTTCCAAAGAAAAATAAAAATAAAAACAAAGCACGTTAAATAGGAGTGAAATTCACATAAATTTTATTTGATAATAAAAAATGAATACGTCAAATAATTTGCCACATTCCTCACATACCGAATGTTTAAAAAGAAAGTCTTGTACCTATATTTGTTTTACTAGAGGAAGTATTTCCCTTTTTGCTTTGTTATATATGGCCCGAAACTACCGTACAAGGAAATCGTATACCGTATACGCATATGTTGAGATGATGAATTATGAACAATTATATAACCCTCCGAAACTTGTTCACTTGTCAATGATGAAAGCAGGTTAGGTAACAAAGCATTTAGATGGAAGAAAAGAAGCTTCAACCTTATCTTTTTATTTTCCGTAAAGTTACAAGCTAAAGGGATCGGATAATCCACATAAGTACACATACATGTTTGGTAAACATTGCGTCGATTCAAATCAACACGCAAGGTACAGAGTTTTTGTTTTTATCGATTTTTTTTTTCTTTTAGAGTGTGTATATATATACACTCACACACATCGGAATGAGTTCATGTAATGAGACAAGATCTCTTGAAATTTGCAACCATAAATTGCAATAGTTGAAGCAGTGCA